AGAGAGAGAGAGAGAGAGAGAGAGAGACGTAAGAGGGAGTTTGACGTGGCAATCGATCGCTCCGTCTGTTCTGTCCGTTTCCGTGGGTCGCCGTGGATTGATCGCCCCTTCAGGGCCTTCAGGCTGCATGAATTGTTCTCTGCCTTCGCTACCGAGGTCTCGTGCGATTTTTTGTACTCGGCCCTACATAAGAAATCCCACCGGTGTAAAGCCGAGAGACAAAGACGGAATATACACAACAGTATTGCTTAACTCGTCGTTTATTCCCCCGGCGTCAGAGCGAGGAGGCGGGCGTCTCGGCGGCAGAGTTCTCTGTCGATGATGGACTCGTGCCTTCGTTCTCCCTCGTTGATGTGCTATGGCCCTTCCTTCTTCTTCTTCTACTTCTTCTTCGTCTTCTTCTTGGCTCCATCTCTACTGGCCAACGCCAAGTTTAATCCGCGGGTTGTGGTCCCTGATTCCTCGTTACCTACGCCGGGGAATGCTGACTCATCCCCTCCTCCTCCTCCTCCTCCTCCTCCTCCTCCTCCAGCGACGTCCTCTGCTTCGGAGAATGTCACCCCATCCTCGGGGACGTCCTCTGCATCGGAGAATGTCCCCCCATCCTCAGCCTCGCCGCTGATTCCAACGTCCTCTGCATCGGAGAATGTTCCCCCATCCTCAGCCTCGCCGCTGATTCCAACGTCTGAGGTGAACCCCACTGCACCGTCGGTGGAGGCTCCTACGGCACCATCGGTGGCGGCGCCCACGACACCGTCGGCGCCTGTGAGCCGCGAGTCTTCAACTGCGAACCAGAGCACGGCTAATCCACCCTCAGAGGGTACACCCAGCGCCAGCGCAACAGGCGCGGGGACCCAAGGCCAGAAGGATGACCAACCAGAGGCAGCACCTTTAAAGTCTCTGCGGCCTCTTCAACCGATATCTAACTCAGCAGCTACCCTTAGACCGACCTGGTCCAGCTTTTTTTTGAAAGTTGCCCTCTTGGTTGCCTCCTTGCACTCCCCGCTTCTGCGATCTTGATCTCGTGCGGTCCCCTCGCACAGCGCACAGCGACTCCCTCCCTCTCTCTCACAACATAAGGTCGGTGGAAGCCGCTTCCCTTGTAGGCTAAGCTGGGGGAAAGCTGCCATTATCATGCATATATATATATGAGTCGGGGAAACTCCGACGAAACAGTTTGTCACAGCCCCTCGTTTGTTGTCCTCTTCTCTCTCTCTGCCTACGGTTTTACCGGGCAGTTCTGTTTGTGACGATATATATATATACATATAGTCACACTGTAAATCAGAGCGCGAAGGCGGAAAAAAGCAAAACAAGGATTCAAAGGAAAAGAAGGAAGGAAGGAAAGCCCCACCTGTTCATCACCTCTTACGTACAAGGCCAGCCACGTGGATGACAGGTTATATACATTCTTGCCTCACATTGGCGCCATCGGGATGCCGACGGATATGGCAGGTAGCCGGCTGATATGGACTCCTGGTCGCGCTGCAATCGAGATCTGCGACCTGGGCGCAGAAGGTCGCAGGTTCAAATCCTGTAGGATGCGAGCTATGGCATAGCAACCGAAGTTGCAAGCTCGATCAAATCCGTGGGCTACCCTTCTCTTCCCCCGAATCCAACGTGCGGTCAATATAGCTGTATATACTTGCATTTAGACTGAAAGACACCCCCCCAAATTCAGCTATAATTACCGTTCGTTGTATGCTGGGGAAGAATGTAGAAAGAGAGATCGCCGAGGATGGGATGTTATGCAGAGAAGAGAGAAGAGAATCAACATGACATGAGTCCATTTATTTAGTCGGCAAAATCACGGCGGCGCTGTCTTGGCCGCCTGTTCGGCTCATCGCGTTTCCACTTGGCAATTGTATAATATCTAGTAAGTGTTCCGTAAGAACCCTAGAAAATTAGACAATCCGGAACCCATAGAAGTATCTTCAGCCACTCCATTCAAGTTGGATGCACTAGAATTGGATGCACTAGAAGGGCAGGGAACAGAACGCACTGATGGTACCAGGGTGTTCCACTACCTTTCTATGGCTGAACACACTGATGTCACTAGAAGGGCAGGGAACGCACTGATGGTACCAGGGTGTTCCACTACCTTTCTATGGCTGAACACACTGAGGTACCAGGGTGTCCCACACCGATGGGACCATAGAAAGGTAGGGGACACACTGGGTCCGTCTTGGATGCAATAGAAGGGCAGGGACTCACAGTTATGGTACACAGGGTGATGGACAGATGGGAAGGAAGGCCCTGGGGCAGGAGATAGGGAAGAGTCCTCGAAACAAGCCGAGCACGATGATCTCGTTGAAGCCCTAGCGATTAATGCAAGGAAATTTCATCATGTACAGCAAACTTCCACTCCCATCCGGTCGAATGGACAGTGATGATGCGAATGCATCATCCAGGACCCTGACCGACGAAGGAGAAGCACGTATCGAAGGATAGACCAAAGGAAAGATGGGCAACGATATACTGCTCATTCCCGTGACACCTTCGGAAACTTTATCAGGATTGTGCATATGCATGAGATCCTGAAGGCCACTAAGCTGCGCCATGTGTTGCATTCTCCGGATGTGTGTACATTACACCCCGACCCCCAGGCAGCTAGCAGTATCCGCATCTGTGACAAACTCATGCCCCCAACAAGGGTGCAATTTTGTAATTTTACTGAAGTTCCCTTGAGTGTCACTCCGGACCTGTGCCTACCTGCTGCTGCTGATTGCCCTTGTCGTCGGGCGTTTCCTAACTGCACTGATCTGGTTGACGGCCATGTTGT